TTTCCAGAGTGCACATTTGACCTCAAGTAACCCCAATGACCTATAGTAACCCCGAAATACTAATTAGTTGACCTAAAGTAACCCCAAAGTTCTGGCCAGAGAGCAAGTTTGACCCTAAGTGACCCCAATGACCTATAGTAACCCCAAAATGCTAATTGATTGACCTCAAGTAACCCCGAAGTGCTGTCCAGAGAGATAGTTTGACCTCAAGTGACCCCTATGACCTCTAGTAACCCCCAAATACTAATTAGTTGACCTAAAGTAACCCCAAAATGCTAACTGGTTGGGGTTACTTGAGGTCACACTCCCTCTCAACAGAACACTTTGGAGTTACTTGATGTCAACCAATTGGCATTTTGGGGTTGCTGTCGTTCACTGGGGTCACTGGAGATCAAACTTGCTCTCTGGATAACACCTTGGGGTTACTCAAGGTCATTTTGGGGTTACTCTGGGTCATTGGGATTACTTTAGGTCATTGGGGTTACTGTAGGTCAAACTTGCTCTCGATAGAGAAGTTTGGGGTTACTTTAGGTCAAAAATCAGGCATTTTGGGGTTACTTGAGGTCATTTTGGGGTTACTTTAGGTCATTTTGGGGTTACTCTGGGTCATTGGGGTTACTTTAGGTCATTGGGGTTACTATAGGTCAAACTTGCTCTCAATAAAGAACTTTGGGGTTACTTGAGGTCAAAAATTTAGCACTTTGGGGTTACTTTAGGTCATTCTGGGGTTACTTTAGGTCATTGGGGTTACTATAGGTCAAACTTGCTCTCAATAGAGAACTTTGGGGTTACTTGAGGTCAAAAATCTAACATTTTGGGATTACTCTAGGTCATTTTGGGGTTACTCTGGGTCATTGGGGTTACTTTGGGTCAAACTTGCTCTTGATAGAGAACTTTGGGGTTACTTGAGGTCAAAAATATATCATTTTGGGGTTACTTGAGGTCATTTTGGGGTTACTTTAGGTCATTTTGGGGTTACTCTGGGTCATTAGGGTTACTATGGGTCATTGGGGTTACTGCAGGTCAAACTCACTCTGCAGACATCCTTTGGGGTTACTTGAGGTCAAAAATTTAGCACTTTGGGGTTACTTTAGGTCATTCTGGGGTTACTTTAGGTCATTGGGGTTACTATGGGTCAAACTTGCTCTCAATAGAGAACTTTGGGGTTACTTTAGGTCAAAAATCTAGCATTTTGGGGTTACTCTAGGTCATTGGGGTTACTATGGGTCAAACTTGCCCTTTTTAGAGAACTTTGGGGTTACTTGAGGTCAAAAATCTAGCATTTTCGGGTTACTCTAGGTCATTTTGGGGTTACTCTGGGTCATTTTGGGGTTACTCTGGGTCATTGGGGTTACTACAGGTCAAACTCACTCTACAGAGATCTTTTGGGGTTACTTTAGGTCAAAAATTTAGCACTTTGGGGTTACTTTAGGTCATTGGGGTTACTATAGGTCAAACTTGCTCTTGATAGAGAACTTTGGGGTTACTTGAGGTCAAAAATATATCATTTTGGGGTTACTTGAGGTCATTTTGGGGTTACTTTAGGTCATTTTGGGGTTACTCTGGGTCATTAGGGTTACTTTGGGTCATTGGGTTACTCTAGGTCAAACTCACTCTGCAGAGATTTTTGGGGTTACTTTAGGTCAAAAATTGAACATTTTGGGGTTACTTTAGGTCATTTTGGGGTTACTCTGGGTCATTGGGGTTACTTTAGGTCATTGGGGTTACTATAGGTCAAACTTGCTCTCAATAGAGAACTTTGGGGTTACTTTAGGTCAAAAATCTAGCATTTTGGGGTTACTCTAGGTCATTTTGGGGTTACTCTGGGGCATTGGGGTTACTATGGGTCATTGGGGTTACTGCAGGTCAAACTGACTCTCTGCAGAGATCTTTTGGGGTTACTTTAGGCCAAAAATTTAGCATTTTGGGGTTACTTGAGGTCATTTTGGGGTTACTTTGGGTCATTGGGGTTACTTTAGGTCATTGGGGTTACTATAGGTTAAACTTGCTCTCAATAGAGCACTTTGGGGTTACTTTAGGTCAAAAATCTAACATTTTGGGGTTACTTTAGGTCATTGGGGTTACTATAGGTCAAACCTGCTCTCGATAGAGAACTTTGGGGTTACTTGAGGTCAAAAATCTAGCATTTTGGGGTTACTTGAGGTCATTTTGGGGTTACTCTGGGTCATTTTGGGGTTACTCTGGGTCATTGGGGTTACTACAGGTCAAACTCACTCTGCAGAGATCTTTTGGGGTTACTTTAGGTCAAAAATTTAGCATTTTGGGGTTACTTTAGGTCATTCTGGGGTTACTTTAGGTCATTGGGGTTACTATGGGTCAAACTTGCTCTCGATAGAGAACTTTGGGGTTACTTTAGGTCAAAAATCTAACATTTTGGGGTTACTTTAGGTCATTGGGGTTACTATGGGTCAAACTTACCCCTTTTAGAGAACTTTGGGGTTACTTGAGGTCAAAAATCTAGCATTTTGGGGTTACTTGAGGTCATTTTGGGGTTACTCTGGGTCATTTTGGGGTTACTCTGGGTCATTGGGGTTACTACAGGTCAAACTCACTCTGCAGAGATCTTTTGGGGTTACTTTAGGTCAAAAATTTAGCACTTTGGGGTTACTTTAGGTCATTTTGGGGTTACTATAGGTCAAACTTGCTCTTGATAGAGAACTTTGGGGTTACTTGAGGTCAAAAATCTATCATTTTGGGGTTACTTGAGGTCATTTTGGGGTTACTTTAGGTCATTTTGGGGTTACTCTGGGTCATTAGGGTTACTTTGGGTCATTGGGTTACTCTAGGTCAAACTCACTCTGCAGAGATTTTTGGGGTTACTTTAGGTCAAAAATTGAACATTTTTGGGTTACTTTAGGTCATTTTGGGGTTACTCTGGGTCATTGGGGTTACTTTAGGTCATTGGGGTTACTATAGGTGAAACTTGTTCTCAATAGAGAACTTTGGGGTTACTTGAGGTCAAAAATCTAGCATTTTGGGGTTACTCTAGGTCATTTTGGGGTTACTCTGGGTCATTGGGGTTACTTTGGGTCATTGGGGTTACTGCAGGTCAAACTCACTCTGCAGAGATCCTTTGAGGTTACTTTAGGTCAAAAATTTAGCACTTTGGGGTTACTTGAGGTCATTCTGGGGTTACTTTGGGTCATTGGGGTTACTATAGGTCAAACTTGCTCTCGATAGAGAACTTTGGGGTTACTCTTGGTCATTGGGGTTACTTTGGGGCATTGGGGTTACTGCAGGTCAAACTCACTCTGCAGACATCTTTTGGGGTTACTTTAGGCCAAAAATTTAGCATTTTGGGGTTACTTGAGGTCATTTTGGGGTTACTTTGGGTCATTGGGGTTACTTTAGGTCATTGGGGTTACTATAGGTTAAACTTGCTCTCAATAGAGAACTTTGGGGTTACTTTAGGTCAAAAATCTAACATTTTGGGGTTACTTTAGGTCATTGGGGTTACTATAGGTCAAACCTGCTCTCGATAGAGAACTTTGGGGTTACTTGAGGTCAAAAATCTAGCATTTTGGGGTTACTTTAGGTCATTGGGGTTACTATAGGTCAAACTTGCCCTTTATAGAGAACTTTGGGGTTACTTGAGGTCAAAAATCTAGCATTTTGTGGTTACTTTAGGTCATTTTGGGGTTACTCTGGGTCATTTTGGGGTTACTCTGGGTCATTGGGGTTACTACAGGTCAAACTCACTCTGCAGAGATCTTTTGGGGTTACTTTAGGTCAAAAATTTAGCACTTTGGGGTTACTTTAGGTCATTCTGGGGTTACTTTAGGTCATTGGGGTTACTATAGGTGAAACTTGCCCTTTATAGAGAACTTTGGGGTTACTTTAGGTCAAAAATCTAGCATTTTGGGGTTACTTTAGGTCATTTTGGGGTTACTCTGGGTCATTGGGGTTACTATAGGTCAAACTTGCTCTCGATAGAGAACTTTGGGGTTACTTGAGGTCAAAAATCTAGCATTTTGGGGTTACTTTAGGTCATTGGGGTTACTATAGGTCAAACTCTCTCTGCAGAGATTTTTGGGGTTACTTTAGGTCAAAAATCTAGCATTTTGGGGTTACTTTAGGTAATTCTGGGGTTATTCTAAGTCATTTTGGGGTTACTCTGGGTCATTGGGGTTACTTTGGGTCATTGGGGTTACTCTAGGTCAAACTTGCTCTTTATAAAGAACTTTGGGGTTACTTTAGGTCAAAAATCTAGCATTTTGGGGTTACTTGAGGTCATTTTGGGGTTACTGTAGGTCATTTTGGGGTTACTCTGTGTCATTGGGGTTACTTTAGGTCATTGGGGTTACTGCAGGTCAAGCTCTCTGCAGAGAACTTTGGGGTTATTTAGGTAAAAAAAGTAGCCTTTTGGGATTACTATAGGTTATTCTGGGTTTCTCCAGGTCATTTTGGGGTTGTTATGGGTCATTTGGGTTACTAGGGGCCAAGTTCCATCTCTAGGGACCATGCTGGGCTTCTTTGATTTCACCCAGTTTGCCCTTGGGGTCGCTTTGGGTCACTTAGTCCAGTGCTGTGTCCAGCCCTTGCCCCTGAGTTTGTGTCCCTGTTATGGTTCAGCCCGAGGAGCCCCCGTGTTCTGCTCTCCATCACTCCTGGGTGCTGTGGGGGCTGTCATGTCAGTCCCAGCTCTCCTGGCGACTTCTGAGTTCCTTTGGCACCATGAGCTGCTCATAATGGGCTCCCCAACCCTCCCCTCTCTCCCCCAGCCCCCTCCCTGGCTGTGCCCCCCACTCTGCCATGCCCCTGCTCTCTGCACCAGCCCCTCCTGGCTTGTCTGCACAGGAGCTTCTCTCTCCTCCAGTTTTAGCAGGAGATGTAGGTACTGAGCACTTGGAGCAGAACAAAACTCTCCAGCTCAGTCTCTTCTGGCTCCTGAATGTCTGTGTCCCTCTGTCCCTGCCCACCTTTACCTTCACCTGTAGCACCTGAAGATTTGGGAGTATATTTAAAACACACCAACACAGTTTGAAACTTTAAACCAGGCTTTACTGGACTGACAGTCATCAACAGCACACATCACCTCCCAGGGTTAGGCTTTAATCATCATCCATACACAGGTAAATTATGAGTTTTTAATAAATTTGACCTAAATTAGCCACGAGTCTCAAACAGGGGAGTGCTGGTACGAGGGGGGTAGCAGTTGTGGTGTGGGGTTGGGGTTTGGGCACCTTTGCAGGTGGAGGGGAAGAGCTTCTTCACTTTTTTTGGTGTTGAAAGCCAGAGCTGAAGTAGGATTTCTTCTTCCTTAGTATTTATTGGTGTTCTCTTCTTCTCCTTCTGCCTGTGAAAGGACAGGGGACAACTCACCTCCTCTTCCCTGAGTTGTTTTGTTTTGTGGGGTTTTCCCAGCATATTCCCTCTTACCCTGTGGGGTTACTTTGGCTTCACCAGTTGTCTTCTCTGCCTACTATACATGTGTTTTTTTCTCTCCTTCACACTTTATTTCCACCTGACCCCTGTATTTCACACCTGCAGTTGTCTTCCTCCTTGTGCTACTTACTCCATGTATGTTTTTTCCTTAACTACTTCATAATATGCTAATTGCTGGCTATGCTATTAGATGCTACAGATAATAGATATATATTATACCAGGCTGTAAAATTCTTGCCTACAGCCACTGCTCCCATTCCCTTAGTGTTTGTGACAAGTCTTGGGTCTTGATTAACTTGTGTTTCCTTTTTGTGTGCAAGAGGCCACCACTTTGAAGACTCCAACAGAGATGTTAAACAGGGCGAGGGAGCCAAAGAATCATAGTTTGAGTTGGAGGGGACCTTTTAAAGGTCATCTACTGCAACTCCCCTGCAATGAGCAGAGACAATCCTTCAAGGACCATGTGTTTACCTGAGGGAAAATGTCAGGAAAATCTCATCCTGGGGAGGTTGCCAAGACTTAGTCCAGACACATATACCCTCAGGCATGAGTCACTGCACAGGCTTCCCCCCAGCCAGTCCCCAAGACTTCCTTTTGTCCTCAGACATGAATCATTGGCCAGACTCTCCCTCACTAATTGCTGTTGTGGACCATGAGAAGTGGAGAGCAGCTGTTGCCTTTTCCTTGAGCCCCCTTGGAAAGAGGGGCTCCAGCAGCACCGTGGGTGTGGGCACATTCCCTTCCCGTTTGTCACGAGTCCTGGAAATGTAAAGCAGTGAGAGATAAGTTCTAAATTCTTTGTCTCCACGTGTCTCAGTCTCACCTGGAGAAAGGTGGATGTTGCCTGAAACTGGGAGGATGGAAATGGAAGGCATGGGAATTCTTTCCTGGGACAGAAAGGAGGCAGGAAAAGAAAGGAAAAGCTATTTTTTGGTGCATGTCAAGGGGACTGCTGCTCTGAAAGCATTTGGGCCATTCCTACGGCTCCCACTGGAGTTGAGAGTGCCTCCAACACAGGTTAAGAAACCTCACTCATCATTAGACCCACTGATTCCTTCTTACCTTTGTACTCAAGGTCTTATGAGAGAGACAAAATCCCAGTCTTGCCATCTTTACTCGAGTCAGGGTCTCAGAGTCTAAGGTTGCCTTCTGGAGCAGGAAGGAAATGGGGAGGAAATAGGACACAAAATAAATCAAGAAGAACAAAATAAAACCAAGCAACAATAAATATCTGCAATAATAAATAAGCTGAGCAGGGGCAGCCAGAATCCAGGTACACTCACACCTCAGTGCCCAGGCACAGGGGTTTTAGCAAAGCAGAGCCAAAATACTTGCTGGGAAGCTCAGCTGAAGTCCTGAGTTCCTCTCCCTGTCCTGGTGGGAGCCATCCTCTTCCCATCTAATGTGGCAGTTCACAGGACACACGGGAGGCACATTATGAAATGAAACATTGCCTAAATTTCATGATCATCTCTAATTACTACTTTATTTTGTCACTGTATCTTTATGCTTGTCTCTCCCGTAGAGTATCTTTACAATCTTTACAAGGCCAAGCTGTCTGACACCAGGATAAATTCTTTCTCAGCAAAGAATACAGTTAAGAGAAAATATTTGTGGTTTTTTTTTCTTTAGTTATGACCCAGTATTTCAGTTTATTTCCTCTCTGACTTATCTATTTGGGAACTCTCCAACTCAACCAGGATGTGATTGCTTTAGGATAGATTATGAGATTTCTAAAAAGCATCATTAAATCAAAGCCAATAACCAGTGCAGAACTGTGAACTAGAAAACAGTAATGGGAATTAGTCACACATTAAAAATCCACATCTATAGATAAAGGTATGGATAAACTGTTAGAGAAAGGTAGAGATTCAGCAGGATTTGATCAGGTGTAAATACATAAAAGGTTAAGCCTAAGCAGCATTTATTATTAAGTCTGCATAGATTTTAATTATTTTTATAGGCTTACATGATATGCTGCCATTAGTTTGAAGGGACAAAAAGACAGAAGAGGGAGCAGCAACAGATCTGAGGGAAAACCAAGCTCAAAAGCCCTTTTCCATTCTGCCTGCAAGGCTCTACTTGCCTCTTAACAAATAGCTGGAGGTTCCACCTTTTATATCCCAGGGTCTATTCAGCAAGGAAATGTCTGATTATGGCAGAGCAGTTCTACACCTCTTGTATTATCATGTGCTCTTACAATCAATTTTTTTTGAGCATGGGCATGACACAACTTCTTGCTCATCACTCAATCTTCCCATCATTTTCTTTACCTTCTGGCAGGGCTTGGATTTAACATCTTGGGCTCTCCTTTGCCTCTTCCTGAAATAAGATAAATGTTCACAAAGAAATCAGTAGATAAAAAGACAAGGAGTGACACCATCCTGCAGAATTTAGTGTAACTGGATATAATTTCATAGATCACAGAATTATTTCATTTGGAAGAGGCTACAGGAGATCTGGGGAGGGACTTTTGACAAGAGCACGGAGGGGCAAGACAAAGAGGAATGGATTTAAACTAAAAGAGGGTGTATTTAGATTGTATATTAGAGAGAAATTGTTCCCTGTGAGGGTGGGGAGGCCCTGGCACAGGTTGCCCAGAGAAGCTGTGGCTGCCTCATCCCTGGAAGTGTCCAAGGCCAGGTTGGATGTGGCTTGGAGCAACCTGGGATAGTGGGAGGTGTCCCTGCCCATGGTAGGGGGTGGAATGAGATGGGTTTTAAGGTCCCTTCCAATCCAGACCTTCCATTGATTCTATGATGAACACATTCCAAGTGGCTGACTGCAGGCTTGAGAGCATATTCATAATTGGATCAAAATCCCATTTACTTCACACTTTGTCTGTGCCCTGAGCTTTGATGCTGAGACAGCTCAGCACTTGTTTCTCTATTTCTTCCCTTTCAGAATTCCAGTACTGGGGCTCAGACCTGCAACCTCCCAAAATACCTCTCCCCAGGCATAGGGAGTCCAGGCAGACCTGTGTCTGCTCCACTTCCTTCACTCTGCTCGGCTGTCTCATCTCATCCTGACCGGCCCTTTGTGTGCCCTTCAGCCCAAATCTTTCCCAAATAACAGCCCTCATCCAAGAACATGCAGCAAACCTCTGCTCCAGCCATGAACCCGCATGACCAGCCTCCTCCCTGCCTGACCTACCTGCCAAGAAACACCCAGTGATGCCACCCCAAAATGCACCTGCCTACCTGAGACTGCACATCTGGACAGTGCCATCTCCTGGGCCAGGGATCCTTCATGGCTGGGCACAAGTTGTGCCACTCCTGAGCACCAAGGTCTCACGTGGCTGTTTGCACCAGGACTCTCCAAGGGGGGCAACTTCTGAGCATGGTGGGGTGGACTGGCACCTGCCCAGGGCATCCTCCTCCTCAGACAAGGACTGTGCCTCCCCTACATGTTCCTCCAGCTCTCTGCCTGCCTCCTCAACTCCTCCTCAACACCAACAACGCTCTCCAAACGACCAACAAACCCCCCACCCCTCACAGGGGGAGCACAGTTGAGGGGGTGGGATGTGAAGGGGACGGGGAACTGTGAGGGCAGTGGGGAGGTGGGTTTCCTGCACGTTCTCACGCTGTCTCACCACTGACCTCACCGCTGTCCTTTGTCTCCTCTCCCCCGCGCAGGGCCCGGAGCGGTGCACGACGGCGGCAACGCGGCGTCCCGGCTGGCCGCCGGCCTCTGCCTCTGGGCCACCCTCCTCGCTCGCCTCCTCCTCCTCGACTTTTGATAAGGGAGCGGAGGGTCCCGGGAGGCCCCGCGCGCCTCTCCCCCGCCGCGGGCCCTGCCTGCCGCGCCGCCCGGGGACTCCTCTCCGCGGGACGGGCGATGCGCCGGAGGACGGGCGGCGGTGCCGAGTGTCCGAGGATGGCCCTGTCTCCCACGTGCCGGGATCGTTCTCGCCGCCAGTTAACGCTGTACAGACCCCACCACGTGCCACCAGACTGTCACCCGCCACTGCCGCCCTGGGGACGTGGCCCGGCACGGACGGTGCTCCTCGTCTCCAGCGCGGGGGGCGCGGAGCCGCCGGGGCGGGTGCCGCCCAGAGCCTTCACCGGGGATGTCCGTCTCGTCGTCTCACTAAGCCGCCTACGCCCAAAAAGACCCCAAGGTTGAAGCCCCCTGGCTCTGCCTTCAGCCCTCTTGGTCCTGAATGTCAGTTCTTGTCGCCAAAGCTCCTCCCTAAGCACCCCCGATGTCAGTGGCCTCCCCTCATCTGCCTCTGCTCCTGACACGATGCTCACTGGCCCTTTTGGAGAGGGTCAGGTGACACAACCAGTTGTCCTTCAAGGGTCAGGCACTTCCCACTACTCTTCCTCCCAGCTAACATCGTACCTGTCTGCTTCCCAGTAAACCCTGTCGCCTTCCCAAGGGCACAAGGCTGCTCTCCCAGGAATGTGAGCCCTGGGGATGACGCCAACCCCTCATGGGGACTAAGAACCTTCTTGCTGCATCAGACAGCCAGGCCATCGCCCTTTCTTGCTCCAGACCCCTGCCCACTCTGCTGCTGCCCCCCTGATGGCAGGGGCTGCCCTGTGGCTCTTGCCCTGGTGTGCTGCCAGCACTTTTTGAGGGGGTTCCTCTCAGCTTTTTTTCCAAGCACTTTCCAACCTGCACATTAAAAGCACAGCACCACCAACACAGGGCAGAGGCTCTGAACGACACAGCGAAACACCAGCTGACAAGGCCCTTTTGCTGCGGCTCTGACGCTCGTGACCGTCTGCATCTCTGCCTCTCTGAGGGCCCTGAGCTGCAACGTCCTCACGCTGCCTTCTCTTGTGCCCATCACGTGCCCCTGCCTGAGGAAAGTCTGATGTGTTCGACCCTGTGGAGGCAGCTCAGGCTCCGTTGATTTACTACGCTGGCGCAGCAGGGACAAGAACGGCTCTGATCCTCCCTGCTGTGACATGCCCGTGACACCAAAATGGATGCACCCAGACTCTGCCCCCTTCTTCTTCCAGTCACTCTGGGAGGTGCTGGTGATGGTGGCCATGTCACCTCCCTGCATATGGAATTGTGCTCCTGATGGCACCGTGCACCACAGACCCCCTCGCCTGGTACACTGTGGCAGCCCTGAGCCTTCCCGAAGCTCCCTGGCCACCCAGGAATGCTTTGGGGCCACAGTCTGAGGATGAGCACTCCCATCCTGCTCCTGAAAAGTCACATGTCACACCAGACCCTATTCCTCTGGCAGGGAGACCTGATTACAGCAAGGCACTGAGCAAGCACACGGAGCATCCCCTGTCCAGACCCGCCGCATCCCTGTGCCTTGTCCCTCCCTTCTCCCTCCATAAATGAGATGACTTAAGGGCAATGGCCACGCACACGCTGTCTTCCCTGCGCAAACTCCGCTGCTGCCCAATCCTCCTGCTTTGTGTGGCTGCGAGGAAGCTGGGGTGACAGTCCTTAGCACACAAGATGGAAAAAACCAGCCCAAGCCAGAGGCCATGATGGGCCACCACCCCGTCCTCTCTGCGGCTGTGCCCCTCCTCATCCCTGCTCTCAACGGGCTGCCTCGGGACCTGCTACAAAATCTCAATGGATGCTCCCACCCCCCATCCTGGATGTTCAACATGTACCATGGCTGATGGGCAAACCCCCCTGGCCCGAGGCTGCCCTGGTGCTGGCGGGACACGCTGGGTTACCTGATGGACGGGGATCCGGCACTGACTGGGTGAGTCCGCGTCCTGCGGTCCCTGCGGTGCTCTGCATCTCCACTGGCATCCCGGGAAGGTGGCACCGGCAGCGATCTGGGTCCTCTCCCACGGCCCGGGCATGTTTACTGAGCGGGGATGGCACCGTCTTCGGCCAGCGACACGCTCATCCTTCCCCACGTGCCCGCTCCAGAAGTACCCTTGGGTGCAGGAGACACCTTGCCCCGATGCCTTCACTGGTCCGCACTGCCCCACAACAGCCCCCTGCTGCCTCCCCCTGCCCCTTCCTGGGTCAGCCCCAAGTTTCTCCATCCCTGCAGCAGAAATGCTGCAGAATCCCAGGGCCAGAGGCCACGGCATACCAGAGAGTGGCGGCGACGACGGGACGCCACGACGCACACCGAGGCTGGCGGACCTGGCACCAGGGCTGCCCCCCATCCCATCCTTCTCCTCCCTGGGTCAGGTGGGCTCAGCTCCCCTGTCCTCTGCCGGGACGGCGTTCGACTTTCTCGTGCCATGTAACGTGCCATTGTGAGAAACGTGTTGGCTGTCTGAGGCCGACCCCGCTGGGTGTCAGACCCCTTTGTGACCACTGCTCTCCATGTTTGGATGCCCAGGGGGTGGCCAGGCGCCCAGGGCGGGGGCAGCGTGGCTCCTGGGTCTCTCCTGCTGATGGCCACGACGGCCAGTCTTGAGTTTCTGTCGATCATTGTATTCCAAGGGTGGCTATACTACCTGAGATTTGTGCATGTTACATTGTAGTTGTAACCTTTTCTAATTCGGCAAGAATAAGAGATGGTTGTGATTGTGCAGTGTATCAATAAAGTTTGACGAACTTTGTACCTTCGGGGCTTTGCTTCACGGACCCCGCACACCCCAGGGAGGGTCGCGGTGCTTGGCACCCGGTGTGCTGAGCCAGGAGGGCTCTCAAGTGGGTCCTGTAGTCTCACCCAACACTTGGTTGGACCCTCTTTTGATCATCCCCTGTGATGGTGACACTTGGAGCCCCACAGCTGGGGGCCCGCTGCTGTTTGGGCCATCCCTCACCCCATCCATGCATCTCCCCTGGGAATCCACGAGTGGGTCCCTGGTCCCACCCACCTCCATCCTCCGTCTGCCGATGAACACATACCTGCTGACAGAGCCCTGCAGGGTAAGGACTGTCTTTGCTCTCATCACTCACCTACGTTCAGCAGAAACAGAGTGGTCAGGGGCTTCTTTTCCATGCCTGAGCCATTCCCAGCATCTTCTCCATCGTCTTGTTGACAGCTAAACCCCCCCACCCGTGAAGGGACACTTTTGTGGATGATGCACTCGCAAGGGTGGTTTGCTCCTGTCATGATCTGACAGCGTGTGACACAGACCAGATGCCTTCATCAAAGGACAGAGATGGCAAGGACCAGGACCAGAAGAAGCTGTGACCCTCAGCATCTTCCTGACATGACTGTAGTCTCATCCTAAAACCACAGGGCTGGGGAGGCAGGCTGTGCTCCCTGCACCCAGGAGATTCTGTTCCACCCCATCAACTTTCCCCACCTTTCCACCACATCAGCTGTGAAAAAACATTCAACCAGCTCCTCTAATATGAGACCTGCTGCCAGGAGACTGGAGGTTGTGGGACTGTGCCAGACCTTTCAGGGTCTCACACGCTTTGAGACCTCCCTTCACCTGCCTCGACATGAGAACGAAAAGCCCAGTCCTGAAAGTTTATCCCTGAACCCCACAAGAAGCTGCCCTGCTGAGCAAACAGCTCCATCCCAGCACCATGAGTACTGCAACCTCACACATCAGGGACACCTCTGCTGGCCCCCTCAAGTGACCCCTGCAGAAAGGTAAGTGCTTCCCAAAACCCAATGGCCTCCCCAAGAAAGGGATGTGGGAGGGGCAAACGACCCTGCCTGCTCTCCTCAATGTTACCTGCAGTGAGTCAAGCATGGGTGACCACCGTGGGAAACACTGTGCTTTGAGCCTCTTCCAAAAAAACCAACCAATCAGGGAGCCAAGGTTGATGCAATATAAATCCTGGTGCCACAAAGCAACACTGGCCTCTGGCATGTGGCACCTGGGGATCCCACCACAATTTGGGCCTCCCTGATGCTTCTCATCTTAAAATGCTGGTTCTGCTGGGTACCTGGTGCTGGACCTGCCTCCACTGGAGTGAAACACCTACAGATGGCCAAACACTCTGGCTCATGGCACATCCTAGTGCCCTGTCTGCACTCTCCCCATCACTGCGCACCAGGAAGGAGATGCAGCCCCTTTCCACTGCGAGCCCAGCCATGGATACCCCCCATCTCCCTTTCCGGGGTTGAGGGGGATGTTTCTCCATGGCCCTCAGCAATGTCCAACCTGTACCTAAGGACAAGGACCTCAGCTGCTACATCCAGAGGGATGGAGAGCATATTTCAGGCCATAACCTCCATCCCCACCACCAAGAAATCCTTACCTATGTCAATAAATAAATACATAAAACACATCCTTCGAGCCGCCTCTCTCTAACATCCTCTGTCTGCTACTCTGGCACTGGACACTCCTTGATCTCTCACCTAGAACACCAAAAAAGTTACAATTACAGAGAGGAGGTGAAGGAGAGAGACCCATGACCTCCATACTTATCCCCGGATCCCTCCCCACATCCCCCAAGCATCAGGGCACTGCCTCTTCTGCCAGGTTTGCTCTACTGTGGCCGGCTGGCCCGGCCTGGGAGACCCAAGACCTGAACAAAGACCAACACCACCTTCTCTGCCTGTGCCCAGCTGTCCAGTCCCCACACCCTCAGTACCCCATCGTTTACTTGGCATGTGCCACAAAGCCTGAATGTGGTTCTTCCCTTACCCCTCACCGGTATCGCTCGGACACTGCACGTCACACCTCGAGGCAACTCCTTTCCATCCCTTTTGCTCTCTCCCTCTTCTCCCTGCTCATCTCCTGGGTGGCACAAACTTATCGTAGGGTCAAGAAATAAAAAACCCACACAAAACTGTCCTGCCATCACTAACAATCAACTTCTGATCCTACAAATGTGCTGGATGGTTTGAAGCAGCCGGCCACCCCGAGGCTGAGGACCAAATGCATTAAGCAACCTGCAAATCACCAAAACACCAAGACACCGACCAAGACAAGCCCCTGGAGACAGCAAGTTTCACCTACACCCAAACTCTGTCCTGCCATGCTTTGCCTGTACAGTGTTTCACGAGCAACCTGGTTTCCTACACCCACCTCACATGGCTGTCTCTCCTTCCCACGCGGGATTCGCTTCGGCTGCTCCACGAACATCCCCTGCAACGATGTGCTGCTGGGGCAGAGAGCCAAACAATGAGCTTTTGGGACACTGAACAGGGTCCTGACTGGGGGAACAGGGCACAGCTGTGCCTCACACCTTCTCCATCTACTCACCAAAGCCTTACCTGTGGGTAAGTGACAGCACTCCCGATGGGCTCACCGGCGAGGTCCAGGTGCCACCTTTCCAACGCTCTCCCAGCCCACTGTGATGTCTCAGTGCCCCCATCTGTCACCCCCTCCCAGCATCCCTTCCCACGCCCCTCCCCGTTCCCGGTGGCGCGAGGGGAGGACGCGGGGTGGCCCTGGCCCCCGCGGCAATGAGCACCACAACCAGACGGAGCGGCCACATGGAACAATCGTTTTAATGGATAGGCAGAGAGAGCCCCCTCGCCGCCCGCCTGCCCCCGCGTGCCCCCCGCCGCCGGCCGCAGGGAAGGAAAGGAAATGGAAGGAGGAAAACCGACCGCAGGAGAGACCCCCCACCGACACGGGCGGCGAGTCGACCAGTCCCACATCTCGGCAGAGGGCTCGGCCAGGAGCCGGTTGCTTCACCTTCTTTTCCTTACTAGTGTTATTTTTTATATATATATATATATATATACACACACACGCACGCGCACACACACACATATACATACACATATATATATATATATAAAAAAATATAAAACTGAGCTATATAGATCTCCCTCTGTCCCTCGGTTCGCTCCATTCCGCCGCCAAGAGGCCGGGGCCATGCGGCAAAAAGCGACGGAGAGGGGGCCCCGGTCCCCCCGCCACCCTTTGTCCCCGAGGGCGGAAAGATGAGGGGGTTTGGGGACGCGTGGACTGAGACGCTCGCCTCGTCTCGTTGAGGACCGATACACACCTAACTCCATATACAGCATGCAGTAATGGCAGCGGAAGGACCCTGCTGGGAACCGTGGCTAGAACTCTAACAAAAAAAAAAAAAAAAATTATATATATATATATGTATATTTATATATACTGTATATATATATCCCATAAAAAGATTCGGCGTCTCCCTCCGCCTCGACGCGTCGCCCGTGCCCTCGGCAGGAACTGTCCGGACGACCGCTTTTTGGGCCGGTTTTGGGGGGTTTCAGCACAGGACTCCTCCTCTTCCTCCTCCTCGCCGGGCTCACAAACCTCCTCGGCCGGTTGCCTCCTCGGCAAACAAACTTCTTCTCTCCACTTGCTCCCACTCTCCTGGATTGTTTTTTGTTGTTGCTTTTTTTTTTTTTTCCTCTCTCTCTTTTTTTTCTCCCCCTCCTTTTTTTTTTTTTTTTTTTGCATTTCTGTTTTTTAGGAACTAAGAGTTCTAGGCTCGTATCAGAAAATACAATTAATAAAATTAACCATGACTCAGAATCCCTTATCATTCACGATGTCCGCGGATGGTACGATGAAAGCGTGGCTCGACGCCGGTCTCCTTCCTCCCTTTCCCTTCGTGGCGGCGTGGTAACTGTTGAAGATCTATATATCTATCCATATACATATATGTATACGTGGGTATATACATATATATATATATTCTGAAACACAAATGGCGGCACAGTCCATGAGAAGAGGGGAAATCTTGTCAAAGGAGAAAACCGGTGTGTCCGGATGGAGGGTCCCACGGGAAGGAGCAGGCGGGCAGGGGTGGTGACAAGGACAGGGCGGGGGGGGGGGAAGCACCACACTCCGATGGCCCCGTCCATCCTCCACGCTGGCCCACAGCAGAGAACGGCAAAAATGGGGGGGAAAAAGGGGCGGGAGACCCCCCCCAAAAGAAAAAAAATAGGGTGAAAAGAAAAAGACTCAGTCGCGTTGCATCTTCAGCAGGAAGCCTTGGATTATTATTATTATTATTTTTTCCCCTTTTCTCTCCAAATTCCCGTTGTGGTTTTTTTTTCTTTTTTTTTTCTTTTTTTTTTTTTTTTTTTTGCACGTGTTTTTTTTTTCCTCTCTCCCCCTCCCCCAGGTGGCCTGGCCGGATACTCTCTCAATTCTTATGATTATTTTCGGAAACGGTGAACACTTCTTTCTTTTTCTTCTTCTTCTTCCTCTCCTTTCTGCTTGCTCTCTCGCTGGCCGTGGTCGTCGCCGCCGCTACTCCGCGGGCCGGCTCTCGGGTCAAAACTGGCGGGCGAGTTGGGCGAGCGGGAGGAGCAGGAGCCACGCGCAGCCTCCTCGTCGCCACGCGCCGTTGTTCCCGTCGTGCACCGCGCCGGGGCCTGAGCGAGGGAGAGAAACGCCCGCATGGTCACTCAACAGAGTCGATAAGAAAGTCGTGAAACGTGAAATAAATCATGAAACCAACCGAAGGATGGTGTTTGGGCGGTGTTGCACGTGGTGGGATTGCTCTGCAGGCATCGCCTTCCACATGGTGTTGTCGTCAAGAGCAGGGCAACAACCGTCCCCATCCCCACTGACCCCGGCCTTTGGGACAAGACTCACTTCTCATCCCTAAGTCCCCATCCCAAGCCCATCCCCTGTGCATCACCACCATCCAACCTCCCTCAGCCCCTTCCACCCTCCTCCGAATTTGCCCATGTTTCCAGCCACACTTAGAGGGGAGATGGCAGCTTTTGCCCAACACACTCTGCCCAGCCCAGGGTGACCACCCTGTTCCCCACTTATGTCCTTTGGGAGGGCACAGTAACCACCTGCCCACCCAGCAGAGACACCACCAGCAGCACTGTATTGAGGACTTGGGGTTTTGTGCCCCTCCAGAGCCTCTGTGGGGCTCATCATGGGCCCAGACCATCTCAAGAAGAATGAGAGGGGATGAGGAGGGTGGTCAAGAAGAGCCAAGCCCTTCCACACCTTTTGAGATCACTGGGGGTGGGGAGTTCAGAGCTCACCATAGGAAAGGATGTGGAGGGTGTCTGACCCAGTGGCTTTCACCAAAACACCCCAAATAGTTGGCCCGGGGGAAGACTAGGCTGGGAAAAGAACTCAGGAAGGCATCCAGGTTGGTGTCCTGCCAGAGCAGGGTTGCCCACAAGGTCTGACCCACACATGCTCTTGAAACCCCAGGACATGTTCCCTCACTTCAAAGTCCAACCAGGGCACTGAGCACCACTAACCATTTGGTCTCCCAGTCTCCAGCACACTCAGGCACCTCACACCTCTCAAATCCAGGCACCAAATGCAGGTCTTATGCACTACCTCCACAGCCCTCCCGACATCTACAGGTCATCCTGGGGGCTGACCCACTCAGTGCACCACAACTGAAGCCACCCCAAAATCAAGATGACACCAGGCCAGTTGGCCGGACAATAAGATTGCCTGGGTGAGTGCTGGTTGCCCCTACCAGGAATAACACCAGGAAGGGGACCTAATGCCTGTCTACCCCTACCACATCCTGGAAAAAAGGTACTAGGAGCATCTCAGAGGAGGAAGGATCTGCCAGAAGACCCAGTTAGGCGGCAACACTGGGAAAGCTGAGCACAGAGACATTCCTGCTTTTGCCCTGGCAATGGAGAGGGAGCAGGAGACTGCGGGATGGGGCAGGCATGCAGAGGGCACAGACCACCACCAGACAGGCACAGTAGGCTGGCAGGGAGGGGGCAAGATGGGAGGGCAGCTAAAAAAGCCCTAATTCATCCCTACACCAGTGAGAGCAGTGGGGTTGTGGGGCAGGCTGGTGCTGCGGCTCCCGCTGAGATGGGCTGGGGTGGGAGCCGGAGGGGCCCAGGGGAAACACTGGGGGAAGCACTGGCATTGCAGGGGTCCCCAAATTACTGACCTTTCCAGGGTGTCAGAGCGGTAGTTGTCTCTTCTAAAAATTAAAGAACAAGTGAAAGTTAAGGCAAAAGGGCAATGGAAAGTGCAGGCTCGAGACGCCTCCCTCAGCCTGCCCTCGACCTGGGGCTGGGAAAACGAGTGGATGGGGTAACAAGTGGGGTGTGCTGCCCAAATCACACCCCAATGCTCTGAGGCCACGGTCCCCCTGTCTGGGGGGGGAAGCTGAAATGAGCCAAATAAGGGACCTCAGACCCAGCAAAGTCTGTGGTTGCACCCTGAGCAAAAAGCAAAGCACAGGGGCTGGGATTTGGGGGATGCAGGGGGTTCAGCTCTCCCCTGCAGGTTTGGGGCCCATCCCTCTCGATAACCCTGCAACATCTCAAATGGATTTATCGCCTGACAGCAGCCTCTGGGAGTGACAGGAGGAGAGGCAGAGGGCTTGGTTTTTTCCCCAGCTCCACAGAACGAAGCAGTTTCCCTGAACACTCCATCACATCCCAGACAGCACCAAATGAGCCGCTGAATGAGGCGGCAGGTCTGTAATAACGAGTGCTACATGTTAAATAAAGCACTAGTTGACCTCCCTGAAAAATTAGATTAAAAAAAGGATTAAAAGATGAACGCTACATTAGCCTCTTGCACAGCCCCAAAAAGGCTCCTGTCACGGTACCTGCATGGATTAAAACTCCATTTGGGGGCGAAAAAAAACTTCAAAACACTCACTCAGCTTCAGGGAAAAGGGAACACTCACAAAATTGTCCCCCCAAAACCTTACAGAAGAGAGATTTCTCGTGCTGCAGGTAGTGCAGCCATCACACCCACTTCCCTCTTATCTTCCATCTCAATAAATAAAGACATTATTCCCCAGACTGAGGGCACTGATTCCTTAGGGACAGGTGACACATGGGGACACCACATCTCTGATAATTAGGGGAGGGTCGTTCCTGGGGGTGCTGGGGGTCCCTGCACCAGGAGATGGGGAACCCCTGCATGTCATGGTCCCCTCAGGGAGCTGTCACCCCCCCAAGGGCACTCCATTAATAAAGACTGAACAGATCACCCAATCAATGTGGCTTTATGGAAATTAAGGGTGCTCAAAGGACTCTGATTTCATTCCCTGATGGGATTCACAGTCAGACCAACAAAGCTAAGGAGGTCATAAAACAAGCCTAGACTTCTGTGGGATTCTTCCCTGCCTCCCACCTGGCACTGCACTCACAGCACGAGTCCCACAAGCCATTGCTGACAGGTTAGAAACCAAAGAGCTAAGAACTCATCAGCAGGCAGATGTCATCTGTACTTTTGGGCTGTTCATCCAGCCTGGATCTGCAGATGCCAAATAAAGGCCCCTGCTAATTAAGATTATAACTTCACAAACCCAAAGGAAGCCTACAACATCCCAGCTGAGGATGTACGTGTGGCTCAGGTTAAGCTGGACACCCAGCACGTCCACCCTGTGCGTGCAGAACAGATGAAGCCAGGCCTGGGTGGTCTGCAGTGCCAGGGGTGTTGGTATCCCTAAAACACAGGGTTATTGGATCACCAGGAAGGCTGGTGGGGAGGAGGGTGGAGATAGGTCCTAAGTAACACTAATGATGGCTTAGCACAGGTAATGTTCATCACATACAGCAGGGACGTTTTGGGGGGAGCAAATGGGTGTTTAAGGCTCATTAACATCCAAGGTTAACTCTGCATCAGGGCTGTGGGCACGGAGCTGAGCATCCAGGATGGGATGGACTCCTCTGTCACAACTCAGGGGAACCTGACACAGGTGCCAATACCGTGGCAGGGGAGGACAAGCCTGTCCTGTGATGCCACCCCGACCCCACAGCTGGGTGTGGCCCCTGGCAAAGCCCAGCATCCTCTACTCTCCTTAAACAAACTGCTGCCCTGGACCACATCCAGCCCCTCCCCAAGGATGGTGAGACACAGACATCACTTCCCGGGGTCTCCACATGCCTCCCATGCTCTGCTGCTCTGGTACACTCAACATCCCAACACGTACTCTGGGACTCACTGTCCCAGTGTGCTTTGCGTGGATAAGAGCACAGCCTGCCCTGAGCCACCCCTGAGGGGCCTGGGGATGAGGAAAATGGATCTGCTCCTCTGCTCTGCTCCCCTCCAACCACACCACAATGAGAGGCAAGGAGGTGACAAAGCAGAACAGCTGGGTGGCGGAGGAGGACAATGCTGGGGTGACATCAGGAGAGGATGGAGGTCCCCACTCCCCACTTCTCCCATATGGTTCAGCTGTGAGAAACACAAACCCCATATCTCCAGCAGGGAAATACCCCCACGCAGTACCCAGGGATGAGATCTGTCATCCATTTCTGACTCCCAGTGGCCATGAGAGGGATCTGGGGAGCACAGACCTCCCCAGCCATGAGCAGTGTCAGAAGGATCCCAGCTTTGATCCCAGTTCTGCCATGCAGGGAAAACAGTCCTGGGACAAGGGTACAAACCTAGTCCCCCCCTCCCTGCCCTCTGCACCTTCCCATCTCCCTCTGGCACCATCAATAATATATCTCCTTGGCAGGAGGGAAAACACAGCCTGAAAGGTGACAGAGACAGGGGCCTAATCATTTTTGGGTGGGAATGGGACAGCAGTGACCCTGAAAACCATCTCCTCCCACTTATCAGCACCAGAGGATGCCTTCACACAGAGGCTTTCCCAAGGACTTATCAGAGCAATAAAATGTAAACCTACAACCAAATCCTAACTTTGCATTGATGGTGGATCCCAGACACCTGTGAACAGTGACTGACATGGTACATGAATCAGGAGGCAGGTTTGGAAGCTCCCCAATTTCCCTGAGCTCACCATGACCTCCAGCCCATGCACTAGGCTAAGAAGGATCAGCAGCAAATGCACATCTCCCCCAAAAGACAAGGGAGAGCCTTTCCACCTCTCTCCCATCAGTGATCTCACTGTTAAGTCATTCCCCCTCCCTGTGTGGCTCCCTCAGCCCCACTCACCATAGAGGATCATGCTGGCATTGGTGTTCCCTAACTGGTTGGAGGCTACACAGGTGTAGTTCCCATAGTCCTGCTCAGAGACGTTGAAGAAAGTCAGTCTGGAGAAGAAGGCTTTGTTCTCCACTTTCAGCCCTTTCTGTCCTTCAGCCAGCCTGGGAGAAAACCAGAATGGGAGAAGGTCACTGGAATGGTGTCAGGAGGAAAGGTGCCTGCGATTTTCCATGGCCCTGGTTGTGCCTGGGAGAGGGGACATTGAGCGTGGGGGAAGAGGGAGAAGGGAAGGTATTGGGAGGAATATGGGAGATGGATTCTGCTCTGCTGGGTCTCCAGCTGCCAGCCCACACTATCCCCACACTGACCAGAGGCACCAGAGGACTCTGGATGGCGCTGGGGCTTGGAAATGCTGTGTGGAGGGAGAGACAGTCACATGCCAAGGGAGAAAACCTGGGAAAGGCTCATTGCCACCCTACAGAAGAGCCTGGCTTCCCTCTGGTGTCCTCAGCCCTCCCTGCTCTGCAGGATGCCTTCTTGCACCTTCCTCTTCCTCTTCCCTGCGTATCCCTGATGGGCACCCACCACTGCGGGGAGGCTTCTCAGCCAGCCCAAATGCTGCAGCATTAACCCAGTGCTTGGACTGCCCTGAGCTGGTGTCCCCATCCTGCTCTGTTCCTGTGGCTCTTTTACTTGCTAATTCCTCATGGGAGGTGCCAGATCCCCATTGTGGTCCCTGCTGGACACTGATCCAGGGGCTGAGCCCGCTGCTGCTGCTGCTCTGTGGGCCCTCGTGATCTGACCTACTTCTGAGCAGAGCCTTTCATCTGCCACACAAACATCCTCCTCTTTGTACACTCCTTTCCTCCTTTGGCTCCTTTCCTCCCCAGCCTGGGAAGGCAGGTGGCCCCAGACTCCCCTCCAGCTTCTGGAGCATCTTTTTTGGCTAAAACACCCCTCCTTATCAGTAAGGATGTGGCTCATCCTGTGTTTGGCCACCCCACATCCCCTCTGGGCTCCCCAGGGAGAAGTAACACAAAAATTGGTTAAAAACATTCTGTCTGGGGTCAGAGGGAGGCATTTTCTCCAGAGTGAGACCCTACCCTGGGCTGTGCTGCTTCACTCCTCATTCCCCAGCTGCATCCCTGTGCTGTTGCTTTGGCAGAGCACAGGATCTGCTTGTTGATCTAAATGGGTGGTTTTCACCCTAAAGCAGAGCAGGCTGTCTCTGGGGCCTAGCAAACCTGTCTCTCGACCAACACCATATTTCTTTTGCCTTTCCGAGAGCTGCCTTCTGGCCAAAGTGTTTAAAGAGATGACAGAGGTTTCATCCACTCTTAAGTGCTTGGATTTGTGCTGCCAATATCCCTCTTCCCTGTTATGCTTCACCCAAGCTGGGATTTACCACGACACCTTCAAATGGAGGCAGGGGCAGCAGCGATCCTGCCCTGACGGAGGCTGAAAGAGGCTCCTGGAAAATTCCCCCTCCCTAGATGTCCCTCAGCTACTTTTCACAGTGTTAAATATAAAGCCCTGGAATGCTTTTAATAGATACTGGCTGTGGATGTCAGCTGCCTGCTGGAATGCCTGGATTTGCCCCGGATAAGCACAACCTGCTGCTCCTGGGGGGGACCTGGCTTGGTACCCAAACCAGGCTTGTGCCAAGGGCTATGAGTGGAAGCTGCTGGCACTGGGTGCAGCTCTCACAGGGTTGGTGTGCCCCCGCCCCCCCCCCATTCCCCAGGTTTGTCCCCCAAACTCTCACCGCTTGTCATCTTTGTACCACTGGAAGTCGGCGGAGGGGACAGCGGAGGCTTCACACAGCAGGATGCCCTTCTGCCCCACTGGCACCCCGCTGCTCTTCGCGTCCGAGATGTACGGGGGGTCTGCGGGAAGATGGGAAACCTGGGGTCAACACCCCGGAGCTTTGGGGCATCCTATCCCCCCGCCTTGCTCCTCGAGTTCTCCTTTCTTTCCCCGCACGTGGGAAGGAGCCCAAATCATCTCTGAGCCCGTGCTCAGCTCCTGCCACTCTGGGGTTGCTGTCCAGGAGTTTTTTGGGCTTATGAGGGGGTCTTCTCCAAAAACTGAAGCTCCCCAGCTCTCGGGCACCACATGTGCACTAATACGGTGACCAGAGAGGGGTTTAGGAGGGTCTTCGCCTCTGTCTGAGCATGAAATATGCTGCTTTCTGCCTCTCTCTCATTTTTTTTTTCTAAAGGAAAAAAATTTCTATTTACTGCTCACTTCTCTCCCCGGAGGTTATCAGCACAGCATCTCTCCATGGGCGGAAAACCCAGGTTGATGGAGACAGCCGAGGAGGAGGTGGTGGAAAAAAAATGGAGCTTGAAAAGAAGGGGAAAATAGGGCAAAACACCACCTGCTCAGAAAAACTGCTGCCGCCTGTCTCGCCCTGGGACCCGAAGCCTGCGTGTGCCTCGCTTCCAAGTGCCATTCCCTTGGGGGGCAGCACAGTGACACACTCCAGCCCCACTCCTGTCCCCTGCTGGCCCCCAGATACTCACAGTTGACGGTGACTTTGACTCGCTGGACGACGGGCGCTGAGACGTCGTTGGAGGCGCTGCACTCGTACTCGCCCGACTGCTCCCGCGTGATGCCCGTGATCTCCAGGTACTCGTCCTCGCTGATGAAGCCCACGGCTGCAGGGCACAGACAGAGGGGTGAGTGGTGGGGAGGCACAGCAAACCCGTGTCCATCGGCTGGTCACCATCTGTGGCTGTGTCACTCTGCACTAGGACATCAATCCTGCGAGTCCCAGCCTGGTGTGCCCACGTGCCTGTGCCCCTCCATCCCAGGAAAATCCTCGCCAGAATGGTGTCTGCAAGCACTGGAGTTCTGTGGTGGACCTGGCACTGCCAGGAGTATCACTTGCTGGAGATAATGTCCATAATGTAGGCAGAGTGGGCAAAGTGGTCCTTGCCAAACCTGCACCCTGCTAGAACAATGCAAAATCACCTCTCCTTGGCATTTGCACATCCCTCCTGAGGGGGAGGCACCACTGGGCTCACCCAGCTTTACACAGACACCCCTCTCTAATTTTCACAGCAAGTTTACTCCCATTAGTTTTTGTGCCAACATCTCCCTTCACCTGCAATGCTTCATCCCTGCGCTACTCTGGGCTCATTTCTGTCAGAGCTGCACTTGTCCCCCTCTTCCCCATCCAGCTTGCAGTGCAGATTCTGCTTTCCCTCCAAGCCAGAAAGGTGCAATCAGTGGCATTTCCTTCAGTGTGGCATCATTCAGCCCCCATTCCTTACAGGAGCCCTCTTTGTTTTGACACTCTCCTGGAAACCCACAGCACTCAGCTGTCCAGACACTGGTGTTGGGGCACAAGATCCCCCGGTCCCCCAAACAAACAGCAAAAGCAACTTTTTGCAATCCCTAACGGGAACAACTTCTCCCTTCCTTTTGTTTACACCTCCCCACCGGATCTCTCACAGCTGGGATGCTCTAATGGCTGCACGGAGCATCTCTGAGCCCAGTGTCACACTTAATATTCCTATAAATTTTAAACGGTAGTCCTTGGTACATATGTGTGGCAATTGGTGTCATATTTTAATTAGGCTTGCCCTACACCATCTGAAATTAATAATAGCTCGAATTACCAGTGTAATTTATAAATTAACATTGCTGCAGCATTAGGAAATAAATTAGCTCTGGACAGCTGTTTCTGGGAGTGAGTGCCAATGGCAGAGAGGCCAAGCACAGGTCCCTGGTCCCCGGGGGATGCCGTGAGCTCGCCCAGCCCTTGCTGCCCACCCGGCTACTGGAGTGACCTGATGGGCCACGACTCGCTGCGCTTGACTGGTCAACCGTGTGCATCTTGCTCCTAACAAATGCAGGCAAAGGACACACGTGGGAGGCTCCTGGAAGGGCACACACTGCCTGCATCCCACCGGCTGATGCTTCCAGGGCATCTCTTCCCGCAGCACAGGAACAGCCTGGTCAGACTGCACCGCTCACCACGGAAAGCACGTAGGGACCTGAGCCAGCACCGATGGCATTCCTGTAACACCCTGGCACAGCTCAACACAGGGAGCACCCCAGGTACCTGCTGGGATCCTGCTGCTGCAATCCCAGGTGCCACTATTGCCAACTCAAACTAGTGCAAATATGCTCAGCCATGATGAAATACCACCTTGGCTCTCTCTCCCTGCACCAGACCTCACAGCTGCTGCCTCCACAGAGCATTCCCGGGATTCTGCACATCCACTGCTCCCTTGCACACTCAGAGGCCAAACCAAGGACCCTGTGCACGTAAGGGTGTGCATCCCACCACCCCAGGCTGACCTAACTGGGAAGGCAGCCCCGTGAGCTTTGGAAAAGGGGTGAAGTGAGTATTCTCATTGATGAACTGCTGACATCCACCCACGCCCTCAGCCCCGTGCCGAAATTCCTACCCGAGTGGCTCGTGGTCCAAACCGCTGAGCTCAGCAGTACTTAGAGCAACTGAAAGGCGAGATATGAAGGCGTTACCCCAAAATCAATATCCTTTGGAGACACACAAATTACAGCGTTACATCCAGCGGCCCTGAGGCACCGCAAAAAAAACAGGAGAGAGGGGGAAAAGAAAAAAATCCCTTTTGTGGCTGACCTAGAATCAGCTTCTCTGTAGCACAGCGCTGCCTGCTGATAAAGGAACGACACAGCCGGTGGCCTTCAGATGCTCCGTGCACAAATCTGACTCTGGGCTGTGCAAAGGCTCAGATAACACTGCTTCCCAACTAACCAAAGGCCCTTCCCGAGTTCCAGAGCTGGCTCGCACACGGCAAGGATTAGCCCTTGCCACAGTCGAGCCGTAATGTGCGTCCCTGGTTTGATCTGGGAGCAAAGCAGTTCCAGTGCATTTCGTTCCCCAGCAAAAGACTTCATTAAAGTAGCTGTGAGGGTCAGCTTTACACCTGCAAAAGCGCAGGAAATTGGGGGATGAAGGTTTCCTCTGTGCCTGTGTCCTGCTGAAGTCTGAGATGCTTGCAAGGTAATCGACCGATGGAGAGGCAGAGCACAAAGTTCAAGGGCTCAGGGTCTGGAATCTGTGGGATTTCAGCTGCAGCCCATCAAAACTGGCACACAGAACCTGCCCTGGACCAAAACAGGATACTCTGAGGTGGAGCTGACACCTGCTTTTGCCCTGTGCACGACCTGGTATAACACACACTCAGATGACAACAGCATTAGGAATGCCATCCAGAGGCTATGGTCAGATCCTGCTTCCTTAGTGCCAGCTACAGCATCCCAAAGACTGAGGTGACACAAAGAATTCCTGCCCACCAGTGAAGCAGGTGACACCAGGTGGCCAGGACACCATCTGTGTCCCCCCTGTGCTCTCCTGCACGAAGGGCTTTGCAGGAAAATCGGATCCATAAACCTGTTTCTCTGTGGGATTGCACCCTGGAAGCACCTGGAGCTTGGGGATACTCAGGGCAGGCCTGGACCAGAGCCCTGCAGCTCCAGGAGCTCTCCCAGAGGTACCAGTCCTGCTCTGCCTGAACTGATGGTGGGAACTTCAAGGCTGTCTCTGCTTGAGCACAATTAGGAGCTGAAATATTGCAGGAATTAATGGAGAGCTCTCTCATCTCTTCAGTAGCTAAAAAACCAGCACAGCCAGCACCCATCATTATTATTATTAATACTAATAATATAATACAGGCCAGAAATGGAACAGCCATGGACGAGGCACAAGCATAATCCTTGTTCATCAGCTGAGGATGATGAACTAACCCAGTGCGAGCCAGGGAGATGGAAAAACAGAGCCTGAATCCTTGTGCTCAGCGAGCAGGAGCCTTTGCACAGACTAGCATAGACTATTTAGGACTTGCTCCTCAAATCCCCATAAAAAACCTCAGGGGAGGGGAAGCTTGGCCGTCATGGCAGTGGAGGAGTGATGGAGGTGAGATCCTGGACTGGCACAGAGCACCAGGGCAGACCCAGCACGTGGCCAAGCTGTGCTTGGGGTCCCACAAAGCTTGGATGAGATGAGGTGTGGGCAGACATCTTATACATCCATATTCCTCCCTCCATGCCTTTCTCCTTCCCTTGCTTCTCCTCGTTTTCCCACCCTGACTCATCTCCCTTCTGACTCCTCCTGCCCATTCGCTTCCATTGAGCCTCTGACAAGATAATAACTCACCAGAAAGCAAACACATGTTCCCAAATTAATTACATGCCACTGTCCCCTGGCTCACTGTTGCAGCCATGTTCAGGTCTCTGGGACACCACTCACAGCTTTCCCTGGCTGAAGGCTGCCTGTGGAGCCATTCAAAAACCTTCCCTGAACTTCTTTCCTGGGTCAGTATCCCAGGATCAAGTGATCACGCACCTCGGATCAAGTTGAGCCAGCCCAGACATCCAGAGCTGCAACATTTCCACTTCTAAAGCCCAAAAACACTTCAACAGTGGTCCACAACAGATTTGGTCTCTGGATTCTCAAAGTCCCACCACCAATCCCAAAGCTCCCTGCCTGCTACACCCCGCTGCTGCATTTTTCCAGGCACCGATCCCACTAGCCAGGACCAGCCGAAGAAAGAGAATATTTTATGGAGATAATTTTATTAAAATGTTTACAACAATGCAGATATTGACATCTCGCTTCAGTCAATAGCACAATTTATTGTCCTTCAAGGTGAACATTAAGCCAAGCTGCCCATTAGTCAATATTTACCTCCAAGGTCTATAAATCTTTATACGGGCTTCAGCGGATGTTGACAGCAGCTGATTCCAGATAAGTAAAAGTAAGAGCGTGAAACATTGCTCCTTTTGGAGGTGAAATAGTAACTAGTTAATTACAGTCCCTACAGCAATTCTCAGCTATCAATTTATGGCTACTTCTGGCAATAAAAATTAACATCGCGCAGACTCCCGGCTCCGAGTGACGCACTGAACCCGAGAGCCATATATTTCACACATCACCCCGACGTGGTGCTGATGGCCATCCTATAACAGTTTATAGTAAATAAATAAAACACACAAAGGTAATACGAGCGAGTTGTTGGCACCAGAGACCTGCTTCACCCCTGCTTCATGTGGCGGTGAGCGGTTTAGTAGCATCAGAGCAGATGGGGAAGGAGGTGGGGGGAGGAATCACCCCCAAATCACCCCAAATCACCCCAAATCCCTCTCAAAGCACACATGACACAGCCCCGGGCGGGTGGGTGAACAAGAGCTGTGGCTGCCTCCAGCTAAACAGGTGGGTGCATCTGCTTCACCTCTTATTAACCACCATTACCCGCTCCTGATAGCTCAATTAGCACACACGGAACAAAGTTCAGGCATTTCTAAAATTCCCTCTCCCATTTTTGTTTGATCAGGTGAATGACCCCAGCTAGGGCAGCTTCCCCTCCCATGCACCCCCTCTTTCTGACTCCCCTGTGCTGGCTTAATGCTGCCACGCTCCAGTGGACAGAGATTGGGGGTAATTAACCTGCTGGAAGCCATCCAGTGCAATCATTAAAAAAATGATTTTTTTTAAGATTACCCTATCGACCCAGGCGAGCTGCTCTCCTCCTCTCGTGAATGTTGCATCCCTGTGCCACAGGCTCCAGCCCATTTCCATCTGTGCCCCCTCTTAGAGGAGCAATCCCCTCAGGAAGCACACCTACATGAGATGCGGGCTCTGAACCTCCCCTTCTCCGTGTTCACA